CTCATTTGAATACTCTTTCTGATAATGAAGTTTTCACACCCTCAACTTAAAGTTTTTGGCTTTTTCGACGTTTTGCATTCAGAATTTGAAAGGGTTCAGTGATTTTGATCGGAAATTCAAAACTAAGCCACCATATGAATGCACAAAAATGACTAACTCACTTGAGCATTATGAAGGATCCTATTGAATGACCGAGCATAACGATGCGATGCGATTTTGCCAGATATTCCTTGCAAAAGGCAAGCTTATGCTCAGTTTGATCATTCAGATCAAATCGATCTGAATCAAGATCATCCATTAACCAATAGGTAATAAATACAGTCATTTGTTATCATAACTGCAGTCGGACACAATGAAAAATGTCGTTTTCGATTACCAGTTAACATATTTGTCTCATCTGATATGTTAACAGCTTATCGCTGATATAAGACAGTACCATATCTTGATATTTAACTAATATCGGCTGTTTCTTGTCATTAATCTTTATTGAGCTGTCACAAATGATAATTGTGAAATGTTCATTGAAAACATCAAATCGCCTGGTAGACTAGTGAGGCATTACATGAGTTCAATGTAACAAACGAACCAGACTCTTTGTGCGCACTGCTCTGATGATGTAACTCATTCGGTAATGGTACATGATTCAGATGTGATACCGTGTAAAGAATGTAATTATCGTTCTTCGCTGCTTCACATCGTTGTTTCTCAGATTCGAGGTTTTTGAGCAGTTCACGTCCAAAATGTTCATAGAAACCCTCATTACCGGGATTACCTTCAAATGACTATCGTAATTCAATGGTTTAGTTTCCAGTTCTTAATTATTGTTCCATAGCAATAGCTCCCAATAAAAACTTATCATGATGTACAAGCACTTCAGCTTATTAGAAATTTATGTGATTGTTATGAATAAGTTCTCATCTTTTCATGATACGAGGGATTCATGCGTGGGTGCCTTGTTGAAATTGAATCTTAGAATCAGAGTTGCTATGTAAGTGAACGAATGGAATGCAGCAACGTAGCGGCAGCTACTTTCATTTAAAGAATGAGATGATGCTTCAATGATACTGATGATTCTTCGATTTATGATATATCATATGCAAATGGTCA